CTTGTTCTCCAAATAAACAATTCAATAATCATCTCTATTCAAAAGACGATATCATTACCAATCCAAATCACTTCCAACCCCCTCCAAAACACCACCAATCGTTACCTCCTTCCTCAGCATCTCCTTCCTTTTTACCCTATGAAAGATTGAAGGTTTTGAAAAGAAGAATGAATCAGTCAAATAACTCCAACCAATTATCCATCAATAATCGTAATAATCGCATCTTTCAACACGCTCTCAAACCAGCTGATCCAGTCCCTTTAAATAGTAATACCTCCAACAATAACACCCCTAATGGAGGAGGCAGCTCCAGCGCCACCATCACCGACGATTCAAACTCCTCGCCAGACGACTTGGATAAAATCTCAAACGAACGGGACTCCAACGACTCGTCTGCTAACGAATTATCTAATGAAAAATCAGGTTTTGCTGCAGTGGCTGCTGAACAGAAAAAATCCCCCAATAACGATTCGGAACTGGCTTCTGCTCCCGAATCAACGGAAATCTTGGAACTGAACTCAACCCAAGGCACTCCTAATAGTAACGACGAAAACGCCACCGGCTCCAGATCAAATGAAGATAGCGGTGGTGCTTCCTTATCAGGATCAGGGATTTCTGGCTCTGGCTCTGGTTCCGGTAGTAGTGGTTCCAACTTGGTCAGTAGTAACACGGGATTATCTTCCAATATCTTTAGTTCAAATGATCAAAACTCTTCCACTCAACCTTCTTCAAATACCTCTGGTGGTAATAGTGCCGGTAGTTATATTCGTCATGGTGCTTTGAATAAAATACAAAATCAAGTTCCTCCTCCTCATCCTCCTCAACAAATTAAAGAATTGGATGAAGGAGTTAATAAAAATTCGGTTGAAACTAATAAAGATTCGGATAATGTTAATAATTTCACCAAAGATCAAAGTAATCGCATGTTTGGTTCCTCGAAAATTGAAGACCCAACTCCAGTCATTCATCCAAATCAATATTATCAATATCCAACCCAATCTCAATTATATCATCCCAAAAATGTTAAAGGTAACAATACTCCTCCTTTATCAAAGAAAAATGTCGAGATTCACGATGCTGAGTTACAACACCAACCTCCAGTCAATTCAAGAGCAGCCCGTTTATCAAGATTGGAAACAACCGCCCAACCTCCTCCAATTCAATCCTTGGACCCGTTACCTTCTTTGAAAGATAACATCGACAATATCAATTCGTTCGATAACCGTCATCAGAAAAAGGAATCGGGTATCCAATTACCTCCAATCACTCCTTCTTTCCAATCCAACTTCCCCTTACCTAGTGCTAAACAAGTTGCAGGCTATCTGAAGAATGCTGATGGTTCAAACTTGTTCCCCATTTCAAAAAATATCAAGGAATCGATGCCTGAAGAGGAGAAAACTTTACGCAATTAATGTCATATAGTCTTTCATTTAATAATTAATACTCTTAATATCTTCTTATTTATTAATCTTTTTTTTTTTCTTTTTTCTTTTTTTGCATTCAAATCTTATGTATATTAGTGTGTTATGATGAAAATTTGGCCCTTTTGTAACAGTTTAATATTGTACTACAGTAGAATGTCTAATATGAATATATATATTTATAAGGTTTAAACTTTTTTTTCAATAGTTTCTTTAAAATCTGGAGTACTTTTAAAATTAGTTCCTGATTTGTCAACTTCAACATAATTTAAATAATCCGAGGCAGTTTTATTTTCGATCTGTTGATGAACATGTTTATCGGATTTTGAACTTAAAGGTATGGTTGAATATGAAATATTATTATTATCAAGTTTATATTGATTTGGACTATTTGACTGTAATAATAAATTACGTGGTCCAACAATTTTGATAAATTCTTGATTTCCAACAAAATAAGTTAATAAAACTGAGCGAATTTTTTTAATAGAAGTAATTAAAGATTGTAATCCATCTTTAATCAAGTTGAAATAATATCCATAAGTACCCATGGTAGAAGAGTCAACTTCCTTTTTGGTTAATTTGATTGAGGTTGTTTCAATTTGTTTTTGTAAATCGGAATCATTTTCATTATTAATTGGGAATGAATATTTCAATATACAATTTTGTAAATCATATGGTCCATTGACACTAATTCCTAATAAATTATTTTGGTTAACTAAGATTTCTTCTTCAGGACGTAAATTCACATTGTAAATGGTTCCATTTCCAACTAATCCAACCTGTCCTCTTCCACTTAACAAAGTATACCCTAAAGAATTCCATTTATATAAACCAGTTAATGAATTTGATGGAATTTCATATTTTTTAGATAATGCCTTCAGTATATAATATGGTAATTTATACATTCCAACTTTTAATGAATTCCCAGTGTAAACTTGTAATGCTTGATTATCCAAGATTGCCCAATCATTAATCCCATCCAAATTAAGTGATACAAACGATTTATTGTTAGATTTAGTGAAAATTGAAAAATTCCTCGAAATTGAACTAACCAACATCGAAAATGGCGTGGTTGATATCAACTTGAGATAGCTCGAAGCATAATTCCCATAGATAAACCTTTTAATTGGATTAATAATCTCTAATTGGTGTTGAATTGGTGCTTTGGTATTTGCAGAATCAACTCCATAAACTGATAATAATGACCCTCTTCTTATATAAACCGGCACCGAAGGTGGCGATTGAACTGACATTATAGTTGGTGGTATCCCCAACGCTTGGAACTCCGCCAGCTCTAAATTCTGTTTAACTGCCAAATTATCAGCATACTTGATATTCTTTGGATCACTAACACTATGATCTACTTTAGCACTGGCCTGAGTTGGTGATGGAACCGAACTAGATGGTGATGCCCCAACACTAACTTTCCTAATGAAATTCAATTGTCTGACTGGCTTCATGCTTACCTGAGCAACTATCCTCTTAATAATTACAGTAAATTCTTTGGCTTCTTATGGTTGGTCTATATACTGCTTTGCTTTTTTTTTTTTTTTGTTAGGCTTTGTTCGACTTCGGGTTTTTTCGTTTGAAATCTTTTTTTTGTTAGTGAAAAATTCACAATTAGTACCGATGCTTTACTTCAAATATGAATGGCTAATATCGACTATCGGACGTATTCCATATGATATAACAGGGTAACAGTAGTCCATTTATATGCGCAAAAGGGATGGCTACAAAACAAATATAAAGAAGTATAAGTTAAACGGTTTGGATTGCAAAAAAAGCGAAGAAGAATCGAGCTTTTCACGGAGTTTAATGCTCCACCAGTGCTAAAACAGCCAGTGAATGTGATTAGATATAATGGGAGAGGTACTGATGACAGAGATTAGACATGGCATTTCGCTAATTGACCCCCGGTGTTTATTCGTTAGTGAAATATTCGTTTGTGATATCCTTGTGTCCATAAACTTATCCGTAATTCCTTTACTAGTACATCTTAGAGTTCTCCGTTAGTCTTGGTTGTTTTCGGTTTATTCTTCTTGGTCAGGCTCGGTGGCAGCACTTCATTGAAGCTCTGCCTAGACTGTTCAAAGGAGTCTCCGTAGCACCATTCATGTCTCTGTAGTGTATTTGAGCGAATGGAGATAAGAGGTTATTCGCATATTCATTTTCCCTTTTGTACGGTGTTATGCATTCAACCATGGTGGGCACCATGACTGTTGCTTAATAGAAAGGCTTGACTAACTTACATCGTTGCCAGGGATGCTTGTATAGCTTACTCCAGAGGGGCTTGTCCAACTTACTGTCTTGATTTTAGCATTGTGATGGTTGCAAATTCTTCTGAACAACTTCAAACCTAGAGCATAAAAGTATGCATCAGTGACAGACCATGTAAGATCAGCCCAGCTTTTGCAGCTCTGCGATTTACTATCTAGCAATGAACAACCGACTCGGCTGAATAGTTGAATTGTTTATCGAGAATTTTACCAAAATTAGTACATAATGTCTAGATAATCAAAAAAAAAAAAGAAAAAGCCTTATTATTGTTTTACTTTATACCAAATAAGATAAGATAGACGTTGTCGTATATGAAAAGAAAGCTCCAATCATTTATTATTACTTCCTTACAAAAAAGTAATGTAAATTTCCCATATTAACTTTCCATACAGAAATTTTAAATTATAAAACCTGATACCTGATGTTTAAATTAGTTGTAAAATTTGCCTATGCAATCGAGAATCAGATGCTTTCTCTTTTATATAATTACATAGCACAGTAGACATGATGATGATTTACAATGAATAGCGGAACATCCTTTTGCTGCAAAAAAAAATATCATTTGGGAAGTCATATAAGCATTCCAAAGTTTGAACACACCTCGAACAATGCTTAAATTTAGAAAGCCCCTCTCCATAACTGAGAGATACCTTCTCCTAGTACCATATTCTTGCTTAATGTAAGTACAAATTTGTCTTGCTTAATGTAAGTATAAATTTGCCATGCTTTGAGCTCAGGACTCATTATATTGGGTAAATCACTTTAAAACTTCCCAACCAACTACTATATAGGAGTGATTCATTAAAGTGCTTCTTTATATTCGCGCTAGTTGAGCCACGAGTTCATCAATCGCAACACTTTACTTCACTGACTTTGGCTTGGTCTGTTGGACAAACCTACTCCTCTTGCACTCCATTTATCATCAAATATTTTTAAAGCTTTAAATACTAAGCCTTTCTTTTCGAAGCTTGGATATTTTTCTGCTCTTTATTGCTTCATATATGTGCAATAAAGTGGAAAAGTTTGAAGAAGCTAACAAAAAAAATTGAACTTCAAAAGAGCAGCGACCTGAGCCCGAGAAAGTTTCAAATTGTTTTTCTGTTTCCATCAACAAAAGAGAATATATATTAGTACTCTGAAACTCTCTTAATCTTCTTAAACAAAATTTTAAAAATATTTTGAATTTTAGGTGTGCTCGAAATCTTATGAGCATGTATATCTATTTGCGCAGAAACGCATAAATAATCCGCTATGGCCTGGTCGTTTCGCTTTCAGGTTTGGTGTACGGATTGAAGAACTATATCCGATATAGTGTAATGGCTATCACTTGACTCTCTCCAAGTCGGAATCCGGGTTCGATTCCCGGTGTCGGAACCTTCTTTTTTTTTTTGCATATACTTTTTACAAGATTGAATTGTACTCATACTTTTTGTACACTTCAAACGGCTAGATATATTAGGATACAAAGACTAAAATTAGAAGTTAATTTAAATATATATTGTTTGATCTACCTCGAAGACTATTTAGATTTTTTTTTTTTGTTATTTGAAGGGAAATTTTCAACTTGTTTTTCAATATTTAGTAATTCTAATTGTTTTTCATATTTATCAATGTCAGTTTCCAATTCTTCATTTAGTTCTTCTTCATAGAAAACTTCTTCACCTTTGCTAGATTTATAATGATGAGAAGATTTTGCATGGGTTAATGAATTTTCTAAATCGTCATATATACGGGAATGATCTTCATAATTTTTATCTTCATCTTTACCATATTGTTCACAAAATCTTGTTGAACCTTCTAAAGCACAAACAACATTGTCATTATTATAACCGTTGAGAGATTTACTTAAATCTTTTTCGGGATCACTTACTACTTTAGTAGTTGGTTGATTTAAAAGTTTTTCATTATTTGAAGAAGGAGAATAAAATAAAGATTTTTCATTCAAAATTTGCGATAATAATCCTTTGACATCAATTTTATGAACGGTGAAATCTGAAATTGATAATGATAATGTCATATAATCATTTAAAATCCAATTATCTTTAGAATTTTCTTGATCAAAAGATTCAATTGACCAACTTGAAATACCATTTGGAATTAAGACATTTGAACCAACGCAAATCTTCTTTGGATTCATTAAATCCCACCCTATGATAGGAATGTCAAATGATATAGAAGAACTTATATGACTAATTTTATAAAAATCTTTTGGTTGTTTAAACGGTTTATCAGTTAATTCTTTAATTTCGACATCAACAGTATCTTTAACGATAATGACCAAGTTAGGTCTATACATATTATTACCACAGCCACAATCATCTAAATGAGCTCTTGCAAAGCCAATCCAGACTTCTCTATTAGGAGGAATAATTTTATCAAGATCAATATCACTTCTTGAATTTAAAATAGATCTGACATTCATTAATTGAGTACCACCTCTTAAAGGACCAATTTGAGCTTGAGGGCTTAAATTATTATCCAATCTATAAGTGAAAGAACATAATCCAGTATCACCAACCAAATCACATTTTAAAATTTCTAAGTTAGCCCATCTATAAATAAAGTTAATTGTTTTATCGAATCCATTTTTAGATCTTTGATCAATACTAATGAAAGGAGTCCAATTTTTTTGCTTCTTTTGTCTTGGTAAATTTTTAATTTTTAATTCAACAACTTTATTGTATATACGATTATCGTATTCAGCATTTGAAATTCCGTCAGTATTTTCTTTACCTGATTGAGTTTGCCATGGCCAACACATAAACATTGATCTGAAGAATTCAGTCTTCATTAAAACATGGTCATCAACGTCGTCATCAAAATGAGATAATTTACGATGATAAGCATTGAAAATTATAAGAGGTTCTTCATAACCTTTTGAATTTTTGGTCAACAATAATCTTGGATCTTCAGGACCATAATATTTTCCTTCAATATTATCATAATCATGCCAGAAAGGTATATTCAAAACTTGAGGGAAACTCATTGTTTTGAAGAAAATCTTGGAATCTTCATTATCGTCATCATCCATTGATTTCTCGTTATTAGTTGGTACTACTAATTTTGAATTAACTAATTCTTTCCAATCTTTATCGAAAATTTGTGCATAGGTAAATGATAAAATTGGACTATTTCTAGTTCCCTTTGGACTATATAAGATTCTTGAAATCATAAAATGAACCTGGTATTGTTCTAACCAGACAGAAGAACCTGCAAGACGATACCAAAAACGATCCACCACGTTATATTTCAATTGAAGTTCTAATTCATCGATAAAGAATGGAGAAAGTTCTTTCAAATACGGATCGGTGGACGCTTGGTTTAGTATCTTGGTTAACATCTCATTCAAAGACACTTGAACATTAACCGGGTCATTTATCTGGGTTTGATCAAACGTTTTAGCGATATTATTACATTTTGTCAAATCTAAATTAGTGTTTTTGGAAGAGTGGAATATACTAATGTTATGACTTTTGAAATTCGATTTCAATAATTCGTTAGTTATAGGGTTATTCTTAACGTCATTTTCATTAATATTTTCGTACTTGGCCTTCACTATAGAAGGTTTTTTCAATTCGGTCGAATTAAACGATTTGGATTCTTTTGCATATATTCCTTCAATCCCTCCTTCTTTACCGGGAACTTGTATGGAAATATAAGTTGATTCTTGGTTATTTGATGCTTGGAAAGACTCATAAATGAACCAGTCCCCTGATGATATGCCGATTTAAACGTTTCAAGTAGCCCATGCTGATTATAACCAGAAAATTGGGAAATAACAATTAGCCCAAGCACAAGAAGCCCCACCGCCAATGGCAAGGAGAACCTATACCGCCTGAAAAGAATCATACCGCCAGGTAACTATCGATTTAATAGAAGAAGAGTTGAAGACTGGAAGAAGTTGAGTTGAATAGCCGCTCTTCCTTTTTTCTCTCTTTTTTTTTTTTTTTTTTTTTTTTTTTTTTTCCTATGTTCTTTTTTTAACTGCTTTAGAAAGTTGACGCCAATCTACGGAAACAAGGGCTAAACCGTCAAATGTTATCTTTAGTAGCCATCTACAGCCACTGGCACAGCAAGGGATTGATGTTGTTTTACACACGCAATACGTCAAGTATAAGAGACTTTAGTGCTTCAAACGGGCCTCCGCCTCGTTCCTTATTGCTGTTCACGTGTGCCACGCGAAAGGACGCCTCGTCAGAACATCAACAGATTATTACTTCTGGTGCTGCGAGACTTGCTAACATTGCAGCAGGAGCCGGCTGTTGGGGGAGAGCACAAAGTATAAATGGGTATATTACAGTAGAAAAGTACACAGATTACACAGGTCACACTAGTTTTTGGTTTCTGATGCGTCTTCTTCGACCTTGGCTTCGACTTTAGCATTTGGGTCTGGTTTTTGTTTTTGGTTTTGTTTTTCTTTTTCTTGCTTCTCTTTTTCTTGCTTTTCTTTCTCTTCTAGTTGTTTTTGTTTTGCTTTTTCTTTTGCTTTTTCTTCTTTTGTCTTTTCGCCATTTTGGAGGCCGTAGTCGTAGCAGAAGTTCTTTGATTCACGAATGGCACAATCAACGTTGATATTGTTGAATCCGTTGTTCTTCATCCAGTTATGGCTAACGTCATCCTTGATGATATCAATGTCTCCGATCAACCGATTGGTTTTGATGTCAGTGTTGTAGTCTAGTCTGAAGATTTCATTTAATAAGCCCTTGATATGAATGATATCAACCGTAGAGTCACTTACACTAAAGGATAGAGTGAGATAATCCTGAATCCCTTTTATATCATCGTTTATAGCAACCTCTTTCAAATTCCAATCACTTATACCGTTTGGAATCAAGGCATTGGGATACTGTTCTCCACAAATCATCTTAGGATTGGCTGGATCCCACGGAAGTATAGGAACGTTACTTAAACCTAGGAAAGAACTAATATGACTGATTTTATAATAATTTTCGCCCTTTGGATTTGAATCTTTGGTTATTAGAACCAAGTTGGGTCTGTAAATACTTTTCCCACAACCACAGTCTTTCAAATGGGCTCTAGCAAAACCTAACCATAATTCTCGACCAGTTGGTAATTTACTTATAAAAGTCGATAATTCAGTGATTTTATTGGAATACTCGTATAGCAATTGATTGATATTAACCATTTGTGTTCCTCCTCTTAAAGGACCAACCCCATCATTTTCATTATTATTCGGTTCTAATCTATAATCGTATTTACAAATTGATAAACCATTTATGATATTGGATAATTGACATTTGAAAACTTCTAAATTACTCCATCTATAAATAAAATAAATTGATTCATCATAATTCGATACTTTACGATCTTCATAACTTATCATTGGAGTCCAATTTTTTTGATTTTTAACTTTTGGAATATTATCTCTTACTAATTCTGCAATTCGATTATAAATTTGATATTTATAATTTTGATTAATATTTAAATCATCAACAATTTCTTTTCCTCTTTGGAATTGCCACGGCCAGCACATGAAAATACTCCTATAATAATCAAAAGTTATATTCATATGTTTATCATGATCAATATTAATACTTTCAACGATTTTCCGTTGGTATGCATTGAAAATTATAAGCGGCTCTTCGTATCCCTTTGGATTCTTAATAAGTAACAATCTTGGATCCTCTGGACCGTAATACTTATTCGGGGTGGTAATCTTATAATCATGATACGATGGGATTGGTAAGAAAGTAGGATAAATCATTGATGAATATATTTTTTCTTCTTTAACTAATTCATTCCCAACGTCCGGGTTATTTGATGGTGATATTAATTCAACATTCTTCATTTCTTCCCATTTATCATTGAAAACTTGTGCATACGTTAATGATATGATTGGTTTATCTCTAATCCCACTAGGGGTATATAAAACCCTGCTAATCATAAAATGAACTCCATATTCTGTTAACCATACTGAAGAACCAGCTAATCTATGCCAATGTTTATTAAGTACTCCTGATTTGATCTGTTCTTCTATATCATCTTTCCAAAACGGTTCTAATTCTTCATAATAGTGAGGGTTTTCTTCTTTAAATCTATTAATAATGGGTAACCAATCATCAAAGGTTAATGATTTTGACTGTGAAATCTCAACTTGTAGTTTCTGTTGTAAATGTGATTCGCATTGTTGATCGTTATATATTAATGGTGACAGTTGAAATATCTTAAACTCATCTTTTTGATACCTATTTGAATCCACGTAGTCTTGTTTGGGTTCATCCGTTAATGAATTCAAGTGTATTATTCGAAATTTAGTATTTTTATCAAAATGACTTGCTTCAATTGCGGTATTGAAATTCTCTTGATAGTATTCTGCTAAAGTTTGCTTTTCTTTTAAATCATTGAAATGATAC